AGGTGCAAAGCAGCAGTAAGATTACATAATTTCCAAAAGCTTGTCTGCAAAGCTTCACCAGAAACCCATGTGGCTCACTGCATACCGCATGAAAAAGCCTCTAACATAGGACTGTAATTTTGGATGAAGAATTTACAGGAGAGCAGTGTAATGTGTGTGCATTTTGTGGACACATGATTTTACAAATATTTTTGATGGAAAGACCAGGCTCTGTCATTAGCTGAATGGCACAGCTCTGACAAGTTGTGTTGCGTTTTAGGTCGGTATAATATGAAAGTCAGAAAATAATGAAATTTATACCTGTGTTGTGAGGTATACATTGTAAAATGTTGATTTATTAAGACTAGCATCTTTCTAAAAGTTTCCGCAGTTCTGCAGTACTTGTGCAAACAGTGATGATGCACAAACACTTTTTCTAGCAAAAGTGGTCCAGTGACATAGAACAGATAAGGTAAAACTAAGGTCAGGTAAATATATGAGAACATTACTCCTGTTAATCACGTGGAAAATGTTTGCTTGGATGGATTAATTATGTTTCTGCCTTCACAATTTTTTCCCCTGTAAACTCATTTTATTCATTTTATTAACTTCTCACAGTCCAGCCTTTGTTTCCTCTGACCTGCTGTCGGTTGAGTGTTTGGCAGAGACAGACACCAACCTGACAGCATGTGGTTTGAAACAACTGAAGCCTTTGTATGATGGGAACTGGTGACTAAAATTGGGCTCCTACACCCCAAAGTGCTTAAGCAGGAAAGAGCACAATTCTGTGGAAAATACATAGATTTACTTAACCAGTAATATATTTCAATGTAGTCATATAAAGAAATGTGGAAGTCTTTTTATTTAATTTTATTTAAATTTAAAATCAGTGGAAGGCTTGATTTGTCGTGTCATGGAACGAACTGTATCCTTATTTCCTCTTTATAAGATGACTTGTGAAATGGCCGTTGTAGCTCTTTGATACAGCATAAAGGCTACGCTGGACAGACAGATGTAATTAGAGTTGTTTAGCAGAATAATAGTGCTGTAGTTGTTCTTCCCACCTAATGGGATTGTTGACATGCCCAACTTTTTTTTTCTTCTTTTTGAACAAGGTCTTATTCTACACACAGACTGTGCTTTTATTCAAATAGCAGCACGGCTTTCATGCAAGAATTGTTATACATTCCTTTACAGCCATCTATATTTTTTTTACAGGCTACAAATATTATTTGAGCAAGAAGGATCAGAGAAAAAGGGAATGTGAGCAATTTAATAGCTTTGCACCTTTAAGCTCTCAGCGTACTGAGAGCTTAAGTTGCATGTCTTCAGTGTTCAGTGTGTGCTGCTCCACTGAATGCAGTGGCCTATGGTATCTAGAGAATTGGTTTCACATCTTGGAAGATGTTGCAAGCAATGTTACTAACATAACCTAGCATAACCGTTAGATCCAAATAATTATTTATGTGTATACATATATATATATACACACACATATATATACACGTTTAACTGACTTGACATAACTGATGACATATGAAGGGAAGCCCAGAATTAAAATGGCAAATATATTTGTAACAGAAATATAAGGTGCATAGTATAATTTCTTCTATAGTTTTTTATGCTATCATTCATCTATAATTGATGTTACCCCACAAAAATATTTTTAGAAAGGACTCTGTCCAAGCACAATGAAGAGTTAAGTTCCAGCTTTTCAAATGACAGTCTATCCTCTTCTTTTCTGTTGTTCATTTATCATTGTCATACTTACTGCTGCTGTAACCATTCCAGACACGTTAAACAATGGGGGTTTAGCCTGCTTGGTATTTATCATTCTGCATACTGAAAACATTAAAGTTTAAAATCATTAAACTGACATTATATCTCCACTTAAATAATTTTAAAAAGGAAAGCAAATATTAAAGTAATTAAATTGACATGGACACAAGTTAGTGAAAGCAGACAATACAAAAGTTAGTGAAAGCAGACCAAATTTAAATGAGGAAAGTACTAGCTAACCCTACTGAAGAGTTTTCCATTTTATAGCATGCAATGTTACCAGGATACAAAGGAAAGGTTAGAATAAATGCATAAGTTATTGAAATTCCCAAATGCTTACCTAGAAGCAGCTGCATCAAACAGTTTTGTAATTTGTTAACAATATATTGTTGGTAATATTCTGTCCCACTCACTCCTCCATCCCCTCATTTTATTTGGTGAAAAAGAATGTAAGAAGTCCCAACGGACTATAATGATCATTGCCCCTTGAGGTCTTTTGCTCTGGAGGGGGTTTGCATCCTACACAATGTCATAGTTTTCCAAAGGATAATGAAATCCACTGGAGAATGACTGCATTCTTTCTGAATTGCAGTTGTATGGCAACCAAAATCAGCACTATGAAAAAAGAGCATAGAAAATGGGACATAAAATTATATATTTTAAAAATGGTCTTTGAAAGGGCATGATTTTGCTATGACTTATTCAAGAATAAATGCTCAATGTAGAAAGTAGAGTTGGGCCAGTAACGAACTAGGGAATTTCATACCTTAGCTTCTCAGCTAATACCAAGGATGATAAGGATTTAAATAGAGAAACAAATCAATGAAATTTCTGCCAACTCTCTCATCTTCAGGACTGAGGTTTGCACACATACATACTGTATACATACCAACCTAAAGTACTTTGCTTTCCAGAGGATTCTGCTGGTTCAGAAGCATTGATTATCATTTCATCAGTGATACTGCCCGCATGATCTTAATGTTTTTTATTTTGAGGTTCTTGCATTCAAACTAACTTCCTAAGTTTATCTTGAGATGGGGAAAATTGTAATAAAATGCCACAGTAACAAGCTGAAGGTTATTTATAGTATTAGTTATAATACATGATTTGGTATTTTGCAATATACTATTACTACCAAGATTTTTGGTAGTAAATAGTAGGATATCAGTCTACTTGGAATGTGATTAAATGTGTGCTTGCCAAGAAGAATGAGTTAATATTGATGCAGAGCATGAGTAGATCTGTTTTCAGAAATGTATGCAAAGCTGGTAGAGAAACAGTTTCTGTGTTTCCTGATGAAGCAATCTCAGCGGAGCATTGTTTCGTTAAGTGCAGTGTCAGGAGGTTGCTGTCATTGCAGCATTTTTTCTTCCTGACCAAACAGTGGAAAAAAGACAGATGAGTACTGTAGAGCTGGATGTGTATTGGGTGTATAAGCAGTAGAGTTTAATTTCAACAACATAAAGGAATTATCCAGGTTGACTGAAAGTACAGGTTGCTCAATGAATGTGACCTAAATTTTCACGTCCTTTGTGCTTCTCATGAAAATCAAGAATTTCTGCATGTTAATTTGAGTAATCTCTGATTTCTTGGGATATCTTTTCTTCTTTGTGGTTACTGGATAAATTGCTAACCATATTTTAAAGTTTCCAATCTTGGTGTGTAGAGTCAACCTAACTAGGCTGAGCTACTCAAAAAGTAGGTTAGACACATGGAGGTACTCTGAAAATGGACAAGAAAAATGGTTTGGAGGTGCCTTCTGGTGCTTTCAGCTTTTCTGATTATTTAAGTAACATATGCAAAATCAGTAGAATTGGTATTTGGCCCCCAAAAGGAACAAGTACTGTTGGCGTATGCTGAGCTATATAACTAAATCTAGACTTCTACTTCATTGGTTAATGGTTTTATTTTGTGGCTTCATTAGATGTGAGTTGAAACCAAGTGACAATAATAGTGTAACATCTATCTGAACTTTGACAGTGCTAGTTAAGAAATCACCAAGTAGTGCTAACTCTGTGCCTTCGCTCTCTTCTTCTCTGTCATCAAAAGTAGCATTGATCATTAATACCGAAATGAAAATAAGAGGTAGCAGTTCACACAAGAAAGCATTTCGATGGCAGCTGTTTTACATTAGGTGTTGTTAATAGTCATGTTTGCAACTGCAAATGTAATATTTACATCCATTGAAATAACAGCAGTGATTAAATGGGATAAGAGCAGAATGATACCAGCTGTTCCAGAACATCATATTTTTTTTGTAAACTTGATTGATGTTGATTGGGCATGCTCTGGATCTGTGGAATACCAGTAAGAAGCTGAAAAGAAATCCCCAAACAACAACAAACCCCAATAGCTGGGCCAGCAGTTCATTAGTAACATCTCTTGAGCAAAAAGAAAAGAAAAAAGAAGAAAGAACAGTACTGAATGCACTAATCAAATTTTCATCACTGTATAAGCTCTGCATAGATTGACAAAGGGGGAAAATAATAGGTTATGATTAACATTAATAACACTTACATTGCTAAAGCAGTTGGCAGATATCAACTAGAGATTCATTTAGAAACATGGCTAGTAGCTACTGAGAATGGTATTCAGCATCAGATACTTTGTATTAGAAATTTTCCCTGTCAAGCAAATGAAATGAATTTTGCTTGCAGAAAAACAAGAAGTGACAGAACAAAAGGAATGGGATGCAATTTGGGGTCCCAGAGAAATGAAGAGCTTATATTAAAGGGTATCAAAGTATCTGTAACATCTGTCTTTAAGAGTAAGATCTTTTTTTTTCTCATTTTACTTTTTTTTTTTTCCCAGTAATTTATATGTATGGCTTGCCCTCTCTTGTTCACATTTAGAATTAAAACAAAACAAAACAGAACAACAACAACAACAACCAAAAAAACCCAACAAACATAACAACAACAAAAAATCCTAACATCCTGTCCTCGCAAAGTCAAGCTCTAGGGAAGAAATATTTCTGGTACTGTTACCTGACGGGTAGTTTTCAATCTTTTCTTTCATTTTCTTTTACTCTGTGTTCTACCATTTTTTCTAGTCCTCTCCAGATGAAAAAAGGATCTACATTCTCCTAGTTATTGTTTTTTGTATCTTACTTTTATTCCAGAACCTGACATTTGAATTTCCTAGAAAAAAAACATTGTCTATGCTTTGTAAGCAATCTTTCCTATTACAGACACAACTTTGAACTGTCAGTTCATTATGTATATGTGATTATTTTTTTTCAGCTTTTCATGCTCCATCAAGTAGTTGTGGGCACTGTTCCAGAGTCTAAATATTCATATGCTGAGAATTCCATGCTTGAAGAATACTTTAGAAAATAGGAAACTGTTTTTACACTAGAGGTAAAAGACAAAAACATTTGTCCTAATTTGTTTTAAAAAAAAAATCTTGAAATAATGGGCAAAATTATTCCCTCAAATTTCTGATACAGAGTGTTTGCATATGAAAATTATCTTATGTAAATAGAATGTTTGAAATAGAAAATTTTATGTAAACAGGAAAGTGAAAACAACTTCATATACCTTGTTAAGTACTTTTACTGTGCATTGTTGTAACAGATCTAATCCATATGGAACGTTTTATTGCCTGAAATCAATGCCTTTGTAGAAGAGCTTAGTAGAATATCTACTTAACTCATTGGGAAAGATATTTTTTATTTTTATTTTTTCAATGGGTTTGGTTGTGTTTTTGTGTGCAAACTCTAGCCCTAAAGTTTTCATGTGTGTAATTGAAATGTGTGTAATATGAATGCCAAAGATTTAGCGACATAAACAAGTAGCTTCTGAGCATTGCAAGGAACTATTTGTTGTACTTTATGTATTTATATGGGACAGGACAGAGAATGATGCAATTTTAAAAGTTGCTGATTTTTGTAATATATTTTTTATTAGTAACACAGAATACTTATTTCTTATTGCCATCATTACCATTGACTCTAAGTATTTGTCTGTTAAGATTGTTTTTGTCTAATTGAAGATGAACTCTCTGAAATTAAAATAATGAAAATGTTCCATATTTATTCATTGAATAGCAATTATTTGATAAGAAAGATAAATGGATTCAAGACAATATTAGCCAGAACTATTCTTAAATATCTACTTTGCTGGTTGGGAACTCGGAATGAGCAAATCAGAGCCTCATATTCTGTCCTTTCTGTCCTCCCAAACTCAAAGGAACACCAAAGGCCTCTGACTCAATTCACTCAGGAGCATCTAATCTCTACTATTCAATTTAGTGTTTGTAACCTTTCTAGCACAGTTAAACCGACTTTCATTCTACTTTGTGGCATTGAAAAATAGCTGTTAGGAAAGCTGGCAGCTTGACTACTCTGGCTGTCCAAGCTGAACAATGTCAGAGAAAGATGGGGCTTTGCTGTAGATAGAGTTAGATTTAGAACTTCAAATTTCAGATACTCCTATGATGAAATGGGAACAGTTTTCTGGTTTAGTTGAAACCCTTATAAAGTTTGAGTTTACAAACTGAGTTTTGAGAAAATTAAAGTTACATTTTACTTTGGGTGTTCAATTCTTCATTATGCCTTGGCAAAACCATGGCTGTTGATGGGAGTGAGAGATGGATCAGGCACTGGAAAGAAGTGAACTGATGATTAATAACAATAAGTCACTGAGTTCCAACTAGTGAGATAAATTTTACTGATGATGCACAGGCATGTTTTAGGGGCAGCATGAAGCTGGCACGGACTCTGTTTTTGTTTACTCTTTCTGGCTCATCATTTAGTGACTTGCTGCCAGAGTGATGTAACCTCATTTACTAGAACCCTTTGAGCCTGACCCTTCAGCCAATTGTTCACCTATCATATTATGTATTTGTCTAGCTGTATGCTGGACATTTTGTCCAGAAGGATACTGTGAGGAACAGTATCAAAAGCTCTGAAATCCAAAAGGATTACATCAGTGGGCTTCCCTTGGTCAACTATGTGCTTAACATTGTCATGAGAGGGCAGTTGAAAGGGTAAAGAGAGAACAGGCAGTAACCAGAAGCAAGATTTATGTATTTCAGTAACCTGCTTGCCTGATGCTTTCTGAGGCCCTTGTGTTGCATGATCACTATGGGAGATCAGGGAATGAAAGAGGGTATGGAGGAGAGAACACAGAAGGTAAACTTGGAAATCTCTGGTGCCAGTTGTTCCACCATATTGTGAGACTGCTCCAATGTAGCTATGGATTCATCCTTACCCACTGCCATGGGTATGCTGGACAGCATAGCCTTCCTGGAGGCAGTGGTTAGCAGCTGAGAAAGCAAAGACGCTGGCACAGATTTTAGTATAATCAGAGATTTTCCTAAGAGGAATTCATTAATGGGTAGTTTTCCACTCAGCTTTACCTCTTTCACAGGTAGAAATTATAGATTGTAAAACCCTAGCCCTAAAGTTTTTCATGGTGATGGAGTTTGAGACTGTTCAGAGCTTAACATCGATTGAGACTTAAAAACAAAAGATTCAGGAATTGCTGAAATATTAAGTATTCTTTTTCAGTGGAATGAGTTTGTTCTTGCTTCCAAACAGTGAGGTTTGCCCTGCTTTAACATTCATCTACCTTAGCAGTTTTGTAATTAATATTGTACTTCAGTGTGTCAAGGAATGCATAAAGCTATGTATATTACTCTATCGGTCTTCTTAAGAAAGATAGAGTTAGTGGGCTGTTCCTGTGCAAAATACTTTCCTGTGATGTCAGAAGAGATCTGAAAAAATAATTAAATAAAAATAGAATTTTACTATAAATTATTCATTAAGAGTGTGCATTTAAAAACCCAGTTGCAGTTGATTTTCAGCTAATTTTCATCTTGCTTTTCCAGACAGATTTTTTTTTTTTTTTCAGAAAACTCTTCTGTAAATATTAGAAACTTGGAAGGCATTAACACTTTTAATATTTGGTTATACATAGTTAGTGAATCAGCATGAACGCACTTATAGAGAACATTACTATATTAATTTATAATTGATTATTTTTTTTAAGAAAGTTACTGACCCTTGCTGAAGGGAAATGTAGGTTTTATTTGAGTTCTAACACTTGCACACAGAGATTTGAAAAAGCATATCAAAACAAAGCGTTGTAAACTAATCATTAGAATTGAAGGCATCAAGAAGTATTAGAATTATTTTCTAACTTGCTTTCACACTGCAAGGTCACCCCTGAACAAAGTGATGACGATAATGTATTTTGTAGGGAATATAATGGGTAGAGTTGTCAAAAATTAACTCCTTTTAAACAGTGAAAACATCAATTGAAATTTGCTTCTAACAATTTTATTGTCTTTTTTTTTTTTTTTTTTTTTTTAATTATTTCACAGAGGATCTTTCTCAAAGCTGGAAGTGAGGAAGAAATCTTTGCACATCTTGGCTTGGATTATCTCGAACCATGGGAAAGGAATGCTTAAAGTGATTTGCCAGTGTGCATTCATCAGTTGACAGTGATGGTCTTTCTGCCTATCTTGCAGTCTGATTTAGATATATATATATTACATGTCTCTAAGAGAAAACTTTTAAAAATATTAGTTAGAAGTCCTTATGTATGCTTACGTTCCTAGAAAAGATTAAGTTCTTCAGAGTCCTTTCCAGTCTTTCCAGTTTTAGTCTTTGATTTTTCTTCATAGGATGACAAAGAGGAGGTAGAGCTTGTGGATTTATTTTTTTTTTTTCAAATGAAAACTTCTAACTGGTGAGATTTTTGCTTGTAACAGAAACTTCAATAATAATAATGCTTTTTAAAATATTGCCAGCTATGACAATACCTAAATAATACAAAACATTTCAGCTGAGTCCAAAAATCACTGAAGTACACACTTAGCTTTAGCTGAATTTCTTAAGTATTTTGTTGCATTCATATACAGTTTTTCTACAGTATATAAAGGCCAAAGACCTAGGTGGAAATTAGTCTGGCAGTCTGAGGCTTCAGCTATAATATTTATCTAGTTGCATCACCACTCTATAAAAACTATAATCAAGCTGGGAATTCAGCTTAGACAACATTACACAGGAAGAGATTTTGGAAAGGAAAAGTGGAATAACTCAGTAGCAATCTTCAATGGTGAGGAAAAATACTATAAATTTGGAGTACTAATTTGGACTTCAGAAGATCCAGGACGTGATGTGATGATCAGGAATTTGAATCGCAACCTATATGACACCAATTGCTTTAATTGTTAGACTAGTGGCTGCTCTGGCGTGAAAGCTTGTATTTATCTGTACTCGTTTTTTATAACTTGAAATTTAGTTTTTGTCAGTAGCTATATATGCACTGGAATGAGAAGTTTACCTGAGCTCTTGGCTGCTCTAGACTATTATTCCATCATTTTGGTCAGAAATTCATTTTATACGTGAGACACTTTCTAATGAAAGTGATCCTTTGAGATGTTTTGTTTTCAGTAAATTCTCAGTGGCTCTTGTGATTGTTATGGATTTGGAATACATTTATCCTTTAATGAACAAGGGTATTTAGTAGTTTAATATGTGAAGTTACTTACTGACAATTCCTTTGTCAAATTTAGAATAAAGGTGATTGAGAGCACCATGACTGGTCAAAATTTTTTTCTTAATTAATACTGAACTTTTTTCCACCTGCTAAGGCTGATTTCACATCTTGGCATGACAAAACCATTCACAACCAGTCTTACTGACAGTAATGGTGTCCCCTATTCAAACAATGACAATGTCCCATGGCAGCATAGATGTCAAGGTTCTACACGTGCATAAAATATACCAAGACTTAGTATTATAGTGCTTAATTACAAGATGAATGACTTAAAGTGCAAGTGCCAAAGCTATTGCTGGTAATTAAAAAACATCTTCTGAGAAGCTGCCTCCTCAAGAGATGTTTTGTTAGTATAGTAGACAGTATTAACAAAAGTTCCTATGTGCAGTTTTATATGCAACATATTTCTGGTTGTTAAAATAGGTAGTAGCTGTGTTTTTCTGTGAAATGTATTCATTTTCATGGCTGGAATTACAACTATAAAAACACTTTGAATATATCAGTGCTTATTCAGTTCTATATATTTGATGCCCAGTTCTTTTAGGGTACAGTTTATTCATCACACTCTCCATCTCTACTACTGTATTCATGAACAATACTCTCCTTCAGTTTAATACAGGTATTCATCAAGGTAAAACGTTACAGAATCAGGCCCAGAAGTGACTGTAGGAAAATGAAAACTATTTCTTAAAAAAGGATCTTTTTTTTTTTTTTCTACAATGATCTCATGCTATTCAATAAACACAACCATATCACAGGTCATTGGGAGATTTCTCAAGCTTTAGCAAACAACATGAAATAAAAGACGAATAGGAACTGGTCTACTGCAAGAAATTAATGCTATGCTGTGAATCCATTCTATAACTTGAGATAATCTGCATTATATGGTACAATTTAAATTCTGTAATTTAAAGCCATGATATTTGTCATTATTATGATGTCTTTAGTAGAGTTGTAGGAATTTATTTTTTTTTTTCAGATATAGTTATGTGACAGAAAAAGTATGCTGACCTTGTTTACAGGTTTCATTCAACTGAGGACTTTTAAAAAGGACTGCATTGTAAACCATTCTAAAACCTAAAATGGGGAAGTAGAAAAATGTGATAACAGCATGGAATTTTATTCTTGACTGTACCAATAAAACCATCCCTTTAAAGTGCAGTTTTGCTAACTGAGCTGAAAATACAATGCCACTTTCTGAATTGCTCTAACTAGAAAGCACTGGCTTCACTTCCTTCTTTATCATACTGACATATGAAACACCTTCGGTGTTTTGCATCAGGATGCTGACACTTAAGTAGAAATGAAATTTTTCAATCCTAGTGGAAGAGAATAAAAGCTACACTACCTTATCTATATATACTTTTTACTTGACCAATATTTATCATAAATTATACATTCCAGTTGTGCTGTTTCTGCATACCTCATGCCAGAGAGGAAATATGAAACATCCAATTTTTCACGTAAAGAAATGTTTGAAATTCATAACTCCCATCCTGACCGCCTATGCATCACTTATAATTATGCCACCTGTGGGGGAGAAGATACCAAACACAGGTTCTGTCAGCTCCTTGAAGACTGGAAAAAAAAACAAAAAAACAGCACACTACTTTATTTTTTTTTCCCCCTCGATTTCCATGAGCTTTCTTTAGAATACATTTGACAGAGAATGAAAAACATGATTGCTACCTGGATCATAAATTACCAAAAATTACAGTATTTTTAACTGAGCGATTGGATTAAACAGAATGTTACGTTAGATGACCAGGATGGTCTGGCTATGAAGAATATAGCATCTTTTATGAATTCCTCCACTGAAGAAGCTGCTACCCCTGTTACTATCATAGATACTGTATGCATGATCATCTCTGATAGAACTCACCAAATTTATTGTACATGCAATGACAGAGCCAAGAGGCATAGTGGATGTCATTAGCAACAGTTATACACAGGAATAAGTAAAATTTTAAGACTCAAGAAGAACACAGAATCATTTAGTTTGGAAAAGACCTTCAAGGTCATCATGTCCAATCTTAAACCTACCTGGATTCATTACTAAACCATGTCCCTTATTAACATCTCCACTCATCTGTTAAATATGTCCAGGGATGAGTATTACCACTTCATAGAATCATAAAAACACAAGATTGGAAGGGACCTACAAGATCATCTAGTCAAACTGTCCTCTTATCACCAATACTACTCACTAAGCTACTAAATCATATCTTGTAGCCCCTTGTCTAGGCACCTCTTGAACACTGTGAGGGGTGGTGACTCCACTACCTCTCTGGGCAGGCCGTTTCAGTGCCTGACCACTGCAGAAAAAGTTTTTCCTAATACATAATCTAAATCTCCCCAGGTGCATCTTGTGGCCATTTCCTTGACTCCTATCTTTAGCTATCTCAAAGAAGAGATTGACCCCCTCCTTGTCATAACCTCCCTTCAGGAAGTTGTAGAGTGCAATGAGGTCTCCCCTGAGCCTCCTCTTTTCCAGACTAAACAATCCCAGCTCTCTTAGCTGCTCCTTATAGGACTTGTCCAGACCCCTCGCCAGTTTTGTTGCCTGTCTCTGAACATGCTCCAGGACCTCGATGTCCTTCTTGTAGTGAGGAGCCCCAAACTGAACACAGTATTCAAGGTGTGGCCTCACCAAAGCAGAGTACAGGGGGATGATCACCTCCCTGCTCCTGTTGGCTACACTATTTCTAATACAAGCCAGGATGCCATTGGCCTTCTTGGCCACCTGAGGACACCGCTGGCTCATGTTCAGCCAAGCATCAATCAACACTCCCAGGTCCCTTTCCTCTTCTAGCCACTCTGCCCCAAGCCTACAGTGTTGCATGGGGTTATTGTGGCCAAAGCGCAGGACCTGGCACTCAGCCTTGATAAACCTCATCGCATTTGCCTCAGCCCAGCAGTCCAGCCCATCTAGATCCCTCTAAAGGTCCACCCGACCCTCAGGCAGATTGACTCAACCTCCTAATTTGGTGTCGTCTGCAAATTTACTGAGGGTACAGTCAATCCCCTCTTCTAGGTTAATAAATATATTAAACAAGATAGGCCCCAGTACTGACCCCTGGTGGACACCACTTGTAACAGAATGCCAGCTGGACTTTATTAACCACTACCATCAGGCCACGGGCAGCCAGTTTCCCCAGAAGAATACTGTGGGAGACTGTGTCAAAGGCTTTGCTGAAGTAGACTACATCAACAGCCCTTCCCTCATATACCAGTGTGGTCATACAATCATAGGAGATGAGGTTGGACAAGCACGACCTGCCTTTCGCGAACCCATGCTGGCTGGGCCTAATCACCTGAATGCCATGCAAGTGCCATGTGATCTCACCCAAGACAATTTGCTCCATAACTTTCCCTGGAACTGAGGTCAGGCTGACAGGCCTGTAGTTCCCCAGGTCCTCCTTACGGCACTGTGGCCTCCTTACTTCCCTGGGCCTGTTCCAATGCTCCACCCTCTTTGTGAAGAAATTCTTCCTAATATTCAATCTAAACCTCCCTTGGTGGAACTTGAGACTGATTCTTCACATCTTATCACTTGTCACTTGAGAAAAGAGATGAATGTACATGCATGTACCTTATTCACTAGAGATGTAAAATAAACTGACAGCAAAATTTGGAAAACATAAACTTCTTTCATTTTAGTTAATAGATTCTAAATGATAACTTGATGTTTCTTGCAACAATTAAATGAATTCTGACCAGTCTCAGCCCTGTAATGATTTCAATAGTTCTTGATGGTGCTAGTCACCTGCGGCTATATTAAAAAAGACAGAAGGCAACAAAAGACAGAAGGAAAACAGGGATGGAACAGCTTAAAGGAAATAAAACCTTACCAGCTGAACATACATGTATTTGAATCCATGAGAATAGTGAAATCTCCCTACAGGAGTAGTAGAACTGCTGGAATCAGTGGGATAATAATGCTTTTGAACTCATGATGGAAGGGTAAGGCCTGGGGGCCTGGAAAAGGCCAAACTCTTGTAAAAAGAACAGACATGTTTAAGATAGGAGGAAGGAGAATAGAAGGTAAAAGAGAATTTCCAATCAGTGAAATTAATAGCTCTTAAATTGCTAGTAGGATTAATAGATTTTAATCTAATTACTTCAGATACTTAAACAAACAAAAAGATAAATTATTAGTGATGTGTTCATCAGAAACAAATCATATCAAACTTATTGAATTTCTAAAGTCCCTGGAGGCTGATTTTTAAAATGCTTGTCTCTCCTCCCCTGCTTCTATGACAATTTGGCAAGAAGTAAGAGGATAAGGTTGATTGTGTTTGTAAGTATCTACATACTAAATTGCTAAAAGGTAATTGGTGACTCCACCTCTGTGAAAAACAGGGAAAAGTTAAAACAAACTAATAAACTAACAAAATCATGTGTATTTCCTTGATGATTTGTGATAATTTGTGATCATCAGATATCCCAAATAACATTTTCCAGTGTCAAACATGTTACAACAATATAATCTCCAAATGAAATGTGTTTTCTGCAGTTTATGGCCAGAATTGTTTAGGCTTCTCATAAAAAGTGTATTATATATTATATTCCTTAGTGTAAAATGTTTTCTTTCACTTGTTGAACAACTATTTATTTTAGGGTACAGTCTAACAGCAATTGCAGTTAAAATGATCAAGTCCCAGGTCTGAAATTTTTGATGAAACCACATGAAAAAATGAAAACCTACCACAGAGGCTAAACTTCTGCCAGAATGGCTGTCAATCTATAGCTGATCATGCTGCTGGTGTTCTTTCAGGAACCCAATAGGGGCCATATCCAAAAAAGTGTCATGTATATAGCTGTAGATGAATCACAGCTTCAGAACTTTCCAATTCTAGCTTCAGCTAGTTAGCTCATCTCTCTTTGTATACACTTTGAGCTTCCCTGTGTTTCAAATCACAAAAAGGAAACAGCAATCTTTACCCCTGCTGTGTTTAGGTGCCTTTTATTTGAATCATGATGGACAGGTTTTAGCTGATGGTACTACAAAGAAAAATAGATCAGTTCATAGTCATGGCTAGTATTCCCCTTTTAGGGTCTAATTTACTTAAGGTGAATTGTTTTATTTATTTATTGTTTGTTTGTTTTTGTTTTGCAGCTTCTTTTACATATTTTGTGGTATTCTACATCAGGTCTCTCAAATTCTAACTCTGGATTGAATCTATTTATTTTTACCTGAAAATTTGAATCTTTGAATGTAGAAATGAAATGCCTTTAAATGTCCCATATCTCTGCCATATGTATACATGTGTGGCCTCATATCTTGCTCAGTTATCCACAAAATAGTTTGCTCTAGGAGCTCCTGATCTTCATGCTTAGCTTCCCAAATCTGTCTACATGGGTTGCTTATTCCACAGTCCCACTTCATTCTGCGATTTCAGCTATGCTTTTGGACATTACAATAATTTGTAGCTAGAATGTAATTCTGTGATGGCCAAAACAAATGCCATACTAAGTGCTGAATATTAAAAACAGAAATCTCAACTTGTATTTGTCCCTCTTCTTCTCACAGATCAGCTTCTTTCAGTTCACATGGTCATTTCATTATCTAAAGGTTGTATGGAATACAGTGAAAATGTACTGTGCACTATCCTGGCCTAAGGTACTCTGCTAAATTCAAATGTTCTCTGTTCTAGTATCACCTTCTACAAAGTCAAGTTTTAATCAGGGAAGGCTCCTCTCCATCAATGCTGTTCAAACCTCTTCAGGATCCTTAATTCTAAAATATATTTTGTAACATCCTCAATAATTGCATATTACACTTAAACCATAAAATCTAACCTTATTTTTCCACCTAATACAAATAACTAATATTCTCAAATACTACTGGTAGTAAAGACAAGCTATATGATTTGCATTGTTGGGGCAACTGAACTACATATCCCAGAATTCTAAGTGCTGGGATAAACATTTTATCACTTGGCTGATCAGCATCACTGAGGACTACAGCTGGTGATTGACTATGAGGAGGGAGGTCACGTATTGGGTAAGTACCAAGGCTCCTAGTTTGTTGTATTTTAATAAGTGAATACACTGATTTGAAAAATTAACTACTTTTTTTTTTTTTTTTTTTCTGTTGTGGACTTTAAATTCTAGTCCCTTTGTGCCTATGCAAAATAAAAATAATAAAAATTTACTGC